CACTGCCTTTCTTCAAGCTGAGAGACAATGTCAACATTTTCTGGGAAAGGCAAGTGTACTGGCTGCTCTTCTCATTGCTGGGACTAAGGCCCAGACAAAAGCAGCTTGCGGAAGGGGCTTTGAGTACAGTCCATCGTGACAGAGGAGTCACAGCGGCCGCAGCATGAGGTCACTGATGACACTGGGCCCACTGTCAGAGAACAGTGGCACACGCTGACTTCTTTCTCCTTTTTACTCAGTCCTGGGTCCCTGGCCATGGGTGAGTCTTTCCACTCAACTAAGTCAATATAGAAACTTCTCACAGACATGCCTAGAGGTTCTTCCAGGCAATTCTAAACCCTATCTAGTGATCAGTCTCCCACTTGTCAACCCAACAAACATACTACTTTAAGCCCCAGTTTCCACCTCTTGTTCTTATCGGCTCATGGCCATCTCAAGATGCAAAATGCATTCATGCAGTCTAACCTCAGAAGTACCTGTTGTCTTTAACAGTTCCAACACTGTCCAAAAGTGTAAGTGAGCCAGGCAGTGGTGGCGCACACCTTTAATCCCAGCACTCAGAGGCAGAGGCAAGCAGATCTCTGATTTCGAGGCCAGCCTGCTCTACAGAGTGAGTTCCAGAACAGCCAGGGCTGTTACACTGACTAGTCTTATGTTCCTTCTGCTTATTTTTTTTTTATTTTTATTTTTTTGGCTATTTGGACTTTCTGGAGTTTGGGGAATTGGGAGTTTCCTGTGGACCTGACAACCTTCCTAACTTCCCACAATGGCCACACTGCTTGGCCTCAGAAGTCTTCCAGACTTGTCACAGCCTCCGTGAGCCTTCCTCTATCACACCTATTCCGTGATGCCAAAACCTGCTTCCTGCTGGAGACGTAGCTTGGCCCCCTCAAGCCATTCTTGTGCCATCCTGTCTGCCTTCCAAGCTTACCTGGAAGAAACACCTCCCCAGGTAGTGATTTTCAGACAGAGGACTCCTTCAGTGGCACCCCCAGTTTAGGCTCTCTTTTGTTCCAAGCTGGAACCTTCGCAAGGGGGGGGGGCACTTTGCCCCTAGAGCACTGTTCCTACTATCTCGGTGCAGAACAGGTCTCCCTTATCTCTAACAACTGCAGCTATATCTCAGCGTTTGCTTTGTAGCCTACAACTTTAAGCCCCCTCCTTTCCCCAGCAAATTACACAGTTTTGCTATCTTTTTGCTCTCTCTCACTGGGATAAGAACAGCGAGCAATAACCTCGCTATAGTCTGAATGTCATCCAGAAGACAAGACTAGGAATTGAATCCAGGTGCTCTGGAATAGCATCCAGTGTCTTAATCACTAAGCCACCTCTTCTGCCCCCATCCTGTCTTCAGACAACCTCCACCAAACAAAATAGTCCATTACTGTTGAATTCAGCCTCACTCAAATTCTCAGTATATAGACAGAAAGCAGCCCAGTTCTTGGCCAGAATATGACATAAATGGCCTCTGGCCCCATTTCAGAGAAGTCCTTGCCTCCCTCTGAAACCTCATTAGCCAAAGGCCTTCATTATCTATGTTTCTCTGCCTTTATCTCTCTTTCTTAAGGATTTATTTTTATTTTTGCATATGTGTATATGTCTATGAGTACATGCTCTGAGTGTGGGTACCAGAAGAGGCCAGAAGCAGGTGTTGAATTCCCTGGAACCACCCAACGTGGTTGCTAGAAACTGAAGCTGGGTTCTCAGCAAAAGCAGGAAGCGCTCTAATCTGCTGAATCATGTCTCCAGCCCCCTTTCTCTGGGCATTCTGGTCCTCTGAACTAGAATGCCCCACTTCGATCTGCTTACACCATCTTAGGACTTCTCTAACCCTAGGTTCCAAACTCTCCCACTCTGCTCCAAAACAATCCCAAAGGTCTATGAAGCACCTGGGCCAGTGGCTTAAGAGTGAAGCATCAAAACCTATGTCCAGGAATAGAATACAGAAATAAAGGGTCCAGTCCTGGAATACAGAAATATAAAGTTGTGAGCTCACATACATTTTGGGTGAAAAAAAAAAAGCTGTCAGCCACTATTAACCTTTAACAAACACTTTCTGCCTTAAGAGCAGACACCCTGGCAGCCACTGTGCACAGAGGTAAACATTTTACAATTGTCTCTTGCCTCCCAGCTTCCCAGATAGGCAGGTACTGCAGATAAAGGTTAACTTCTAAGTGTTGCCTTCTGCTTGTATCCCCTTAATTTTAACTGTCTCCCTATGTGACTCTACTCTCTGCCTTGCATTCCTTCAGGGACAGTGAAAAGCAGCTGTGTCAGCCACAGGCTAACTTAACATTCTAATGTCCTACAACCAGGAGTTGTGCAAATCTAGTGTGGCTTTAAGCCTGACCTCAAGCTGCAAAAGCTCTCTGACCCACACCTGTGCTTAATTTTCCTGTAAGAGGAGGCCCCAAACCAGCCCCCACCACACAGCTCCAAAAGCCCAATCTCTGGCTGTGGTCAGAGCTATAGCTGATAAGCTTTGTGTGCCCCATGGTGATTTTTTCCTTTCTTTTTCTGGAAAAAAGCTTGCTTCTGTGCGACTCCCGGACCCAACAAGGACAGTCCCCAAAGATAAAGGTACTGGTCTACAGAGTGAGTTCCAGGACAGTCGGGACTACACAGAGAAACCCTGTCTTAAATAAAACAAACTACTACAAAAAAAACCAAAACCAACAAACAAAAATAAAAAAACAAAGGTTCGCCACTGGCTGAACAACTGAAGATTAACACAGCATCACACCCAGCTATGACACTCCTGACCTCACCTTAAAAACCTGCCAAAGTATTGGGCAGTGGTGGTACAGGCCTTTAATCCTAGCACTCCGGAGGTAGAGGCAGGCAGATGAGTTCCAGGACAGCCAGTAAATATTTAAGCTGACTCTATGTGTGAGTCTTTGGTACTACAGGCCCATGTGAGCATTTGGGAATAAAGGATTAACTAATGGTCAAAAGCTCCCTAAGAAACGAAGGAACTGACGTCATCTTGCTAGCAGCACTGATGCTACCTCAAATGCAGCCATTACTCACTTGTAAGGATTAAAAAAGACAACTCTTTTCGTTTTGTTTTTGTTTTGATTTTCAAGACAAGGTTTCTATGTAGCTTTGGAGCCTGTCCTGGAACTCAGGCTGTAGACCAGGCTGGCCTTGAACTCACAGAGATCCACCTGCCTCTGCCTCCCAAATGCTGGGATTAAAGGTGAGCATCATCACCACCTGGCTTAAAAAGACAACTCTTTCACAAGCAAAGGAAATACTCGGCAGAGAAAGCCACCAAGTGGGCAACCTGGACAGCTGAAGCAGATAAAATACTGGCAGTCACGATAGCCCAGTATTTGAGAAGAAAAGATCTCCACCTCCTACAATTTTGACCAACAAAGTGGTTCTTAAAATATAAAATATGGGGCAGGAGAGATGGCTCAGCGGTTAAGAGCAGTGGCTGCTCTTTCAGGGGTCCAGCAACCACATGGTGGCTCACACCATCCATAGTGGGACCTGATGACCTCTTCTGGCATAAAATTCTACATGCAGCCAGAACACTCCAACATAAAGAAATAAGGTAAAATACAAATAGTCAATGAAAAGTGTTCAAACCCACCAGCCATGATACACAAATCAAAACTACAATGAGATTCCATTTTACCCTAGTCAAAATAGCAGTCATTAAAAACAAAACCAAGAAATGCTGGCAAGACTGTGGACAAATGGGACCTTTATACACTGCCAGTGGGACTGAATGTCCAGGCTCTATGGAAACCAGTGAAGGTTTCTCCAGAAACTAACGACAGATCTTCCATATGGCTCAGCTATACCACTTCTAGGTTTTTACCTGAAAATTCCCGTATCACAGAGCCACTTGCACATTAATGGGGTTTTCAGCATTATTTACATGCTATTGTGGCCAACAACAGAGGAACGCATATGACAGGCTTACACAATGGGACTCTTACACTTTTTCACCTGAGCGTGTGTGTATGTTGGTGCACACATGTGCATGGGGAGGTCAGAGACCAGCGTTCAGTTCTCTAGTTCTCTCTTACAATATGGGGTCCAGGGCCCAAACTCAAGATTTTCTGCACTGGCGGGAGGTGTCCTTACCCACCGAGCCCTCTCACTAACCCCACAACAGAATTTTTCCAACCATAAAGAACTAAGTTATGTCATTTGCAGGAAAATGGAAGCAACTGGATATAATCATATTAAACAAATTACTCTCAGAAAAACACGTTTTCTCTGACTCGCGGTTCCTAGATATTTATAGAGATGCATAAAATCATGTACAGAAATGAAACTATGGGGAAAGGGAAACAGGTGGGGAGGATTTAAAAAGCCAGTAAGAGATACGGGGGGTATACTTAATATACCATATATACCTGTGTGAAAACTTTACAAAAAAATAAGTAAAAAGCATAACTCTAATCAAGAAAATAGAGGTGAAGCTAGGCTTGTACAGACTTACAGAGTTCGAGGCCAGCATGGGCTTACATGGCAAACTGCAGGCTAACCTGAACTACCCAGAAAAGTCAATTTCAGAAAAACAAGAAAAGTCTGTTCACACTGTGCCTCAAACCGGAAGTAACGGAGTAGACGCGATTATTCCGTGATGATATAACTGGAAACACCAGGCGTCGCGCGGGAATCGGAGGCTCCCGGAGCCCGCTAAGGTGGCTCCGAGGGCGTGGCCAGCGGAGTGGGCCCCGCCCCCGCACCCCAGTGGAGGGTCACGCGCGCGCCCGCCGGGCTTCCGGACTCCCGCGCGGCCTGAACCCCGCGATGCTGGGCAGAGGCGTGTCTCCTAACAAAGGAAGGCTGGAGCACTGCACCTGCCCGTCCTCCTCCAACCCCGCACGCGTCCGCCGGGAGCAGCCCACAGGGACCAACTCAGAAGGGCTCGAGGCCCGAACCTACGCACGGGGGTCGCCACGGCCCGCGAGGTTTCCACCCTGGCGCGGACACGACCCGTCTCTCGGGCCCGCGCATCCCAGGCCTTGCAGACATACCTGAAGGGGTTTAGCATCCACCCGCGGTCCCGGGTCACGAAGCGCGTGGAAAGGGGGCCCTGTTACCCACTCGCGATGGCAGGTGGGGGAAGGGCGATTGCCCGTTCGTTCGCGCAAGCGCGCAGACTGTAGCGCGGGCGGCGGTACCCAGAGTCCTCGGAGTAGTGACGCGGGCCTCACGACTACAATTCCCATAAGCCTCCGAGCCGCGCTGCTAGGGACTCTGGGAAGTCTGCGAGTGGTAGGGTGGAGACCGCTTTACAAGTTAACTGCAGATTGTGTTCTGCTCTCAGAGACAGTACAGTCTCTTTCCTCCTTGTATGCTATTAAAAAACTGGCTTTTAGAAATGTCACGAGTAATCTATTTAAACTTTTTCTTTTCTTTCTTTTTCTTTTTGGTTTTTCGAGATAGGGTTTCTCTGTAGCTTTGGAACCTGTCCTGTCCTCTTGTAGACCAGACTGGCCTCGAACTCACAGAGATCTGCCTGCCTCTGCCTGCTGAGAGCTGGGATTAAAGACGTGCACCACCACCACCCGGCTCAAAACTCTTTTTCAACTACAAAACACATATATTAAAGCAAATATCAACTTTAATCTCAACCAAGAATCCATGTCTTTTTGAGCGTAGTAGTGCAGCTTTTAACCCGAGCAAGTCAGGAGGTAGAAACAGGCAGATCCTTGGGAGCTTGAGAACAGAGTTTCAGGCCAGCTAGGGCTACAGAGTGAGACCTTGTTTTAGAACCAACCAACTCCCCACCACACACACACACACACACACAGAGCCACAAACAACAAAACCACCATTTTTCTTAACCTCTTAGCCTTATAGTTATTTTTGGAAGGACTGGCACAAATAACCCCACGTTGGTTTGAGACAGGGTCTTGTCATCAAGTCTAGGCTGGCTTCAAATTTAACCATCTTCCTGTTTCAGCTTCCTACTTAATGGGATTACAGATGAACGGTACCATGCCTAGTATGACTTTATTTCAGTACTGACCCCTTCTATGGACACATATAGACATATAGGCTAAGCATTCATGCGCATAAAATCTTAAAAATTGTGGAGCGGTGGTGGCACACGCCTTTAATCCCAGCACTAGAGAGGCGGAAGCTGGTCTACAAGGAGTTCCAGAACAGAGAAACCTTGCTCTAAAAACAAAACTCTAAAAATTTGTAAACGGTGATAACTTTAGCTGTGTGTAAAGTATACACAACACTGAAGCATCGGGTTGGGGAGGAGAGAGGCTGAAGCAATCCCAGTGCTCAGAAGTAAAGCGGGATTAGTTCAAGGCCATCTGGACTACGTGAGACAGACTCAAAAAGAAGCAGGAGCCTGGCGGTGATGGCGCAAGCCTTTAATCCCAGAACAACTAGGACTGTTACACAGAGAAACCCTGTCTCAAAAACAAACAAAAAAGAAAGAAAGGAACGTTTCTAGTATGAGTTTAATAACCCTGTAAGCTCAGCACTTGGAAGAGGCTGAGGCAAAATCATTGCTGTGAGTTTGACACCAATCTGGGCTGCTACCCAGTAAGTTCCAGGTTCGTCTGACATACAGAGTGAGAACCAGTCTCAAAAACAGGGCTGGAGCTGACTATGAAAAACAGTACTTGCCTTTAATTCCAAGCACTTGGGATATACAGTGAGTTTCAGGATATCCAGGGCTATGTAGACTCTGCCTTAAAAAAAAAAAAAAAAAAAAACAGGGCTGGTAAAATGGCTTAGGGGGAAAGGTGTTGGTCACCCTGTTCTCCCACAACAGGTGGAAGAAGAGACCCAGTTCCCACAAGTTGTCCTCTGACCTCCACACACACACTGTGGCACATCCGTGAGTGCACACACACACAAATATAAAATTGTCTAAAAAAGAGAATATGTATCATTTTCAAATCTAGATCTTTGACAATGTGAATCAAATACATTGTAGTTATATATAAACAGATCTGGAAGAGACACTGAAAATGTGTGTTGATCACATGGCGGAGGTGTCTGATTCATGGAGAAATGAAAGGGGACAGGCAGGATGTATGTGTGCTCCTACTTAAGCTGAGGATGTAGCTCAACAGCAGAACATTTGCTAGCGTGCAAAGACCTTGGGACTGATTCCCAGAACCACATACACATCTACACAAAAGTAGAATGTGTCCCTACTTTTGTAAAAGCTATGCATATTTTGAGACAAAACTGAAAGATACAAAAAGAAGATTGAACACACTCTCGCTCGTATTTTATGATGACCCCGCCAAATGAGCGCTCTGTGAGATGTTTCTAAAGACCTTGCCAAATTCAAAGCACTGTTTTCTATTACTCTCTCTCTCTCATAGGAATAAAGGACGTGGACAGAGGAAGGCTTTGAAAACAGTGCATTTTTTTTTTAAGATTTTATTTTTTTATTAAGTATACAGTGTTCTGCCAGAAGAGGGCACCAGATCCCATGTAGATGGTTGTGAACTACCATGTGGTTGCTGGGAATTGAACTCAGGACCTCTGGAAGAGCAGCCAGTGTTCTTAACCTCCGACCTGTCTCTCCAGCCCCACAGTGCATATTTTTGCTGAAATACAATTCTTTCTTTTTTCCTTTCCTTTCTTCCATTCTTTTTTTTTTTTTTTTTTTTGAGACAGGGTTGCAAATATTGAAGACAGGCCTTGAAGTTGGTACCCAGAGTAGGGTACTCACTATATAGCCAAGAATAGCCCTGGCCTTCTGAGTTTCCTGCCTCTACCTCCTGAACGGTAGAATTAATGGTGTGCACCAAAAACTCAAGTCCAAATGGATCAAAGACCTCAACATAAAACCAGCCACACTGAACCTCATAGAAGAGAAAGTGGGAAGTACATTTGAACGCATTGGCACAGGAGACCTCTTCCTAAATATAACCCCAGTGGTACAGACACTGAAAGAAACAATTAATAATTGGGACCTCCTGAAACTGAAAAGCTTCTGTAAAGCAAAGGACACGGTCAACAAGACAAAACAACAGCCTACAGAATGGGAAAAGATTTTTTTTTTCTTGAGACAGATTTCTCTGTGTAGCCCTGGCTGTCCTGGAACTAGCTCTTGTAGACCAGGCTGGCCTGAAACTCACAGAGATCCGCCTGCCTCTACGAGTGTGGGATTAAAGGCGTGCGCCACCACCACCCGGCTGTGAGGACAAACTTTATTACACTGTATCAAGCACCGTATTAATCCCACCAGCTTTCTCATCAACACTGGTTAAACATGGGGCAACAGGACAGGCTTTTGTCCAAATTTTGTTTAACATGAAAGCTCATTTTATCATTGAGTAACAAATATAATCAGCAGTTTTCCTGGAAGTGACAGTTCCCTTCATTTAATTAAAAAACAACAACAACAACAGGGGGCTGGAGAGATGGCTCAGAGGTTAAGAGCATTGCCTGCTCTTCCAGAGGTCCTGAGTTCAATTCCCAGCAACCACATGGTGGCTCACAACCATCTGTAATGGGGTCTGGTGCCCTCCTCTGGCCTGTGGGCATACACACAGACAGAATATTGTATACATAATAAATAAATAAATATTTTTTTTAAAAAACAACAACAACAACAAACCAACTTCACCAAAACCACAGAATAGCCATTGTTTCCTCCCTAGTCATTCTTTAAGTCAGAATGGTGTTCCCCCGTTAAAGGGATGGCTCAATGGGTAGAAAGCACTTACTGTGTAAGCATGAGGTGATGAGTTTGAACCCCAGAACCCACATAATCCTGGACATTATCAGGCATATCAATAACCCCAGGGTTCCCACAGTGAGATGGGAGGTGGAGAAACAAGAACCCCCAAAGCTTCAGGGATAGCAAGCCTGGCATATGGAGAGACCCTGCCTCAACAAGTGCTGAGGACCAGCACCCAAGACTGCCTTCTGACCTGCATACGCTTGCTAGAGCAAGTACAGGCCCACACTAACATGCATGAATGCAGACACACGAATGCTCACTGTGGTGGTTCGAATAGAAATGGCTCCCATAGACTCATCTATTTGAATGCTTTGTCACCAGGCAGTGGAACCCTTTGACAGAAGGATTAGGAGATGTAGTCTTGTTGGAGGAAGAGGGTCACTGGGGGTGGACTTCGAAGTTTGAAAAGCCCAAGCCAAGCTCAGAGTCGTCAGTCTCTCTCTCTCTGTCTCTCTGTCTCTGTCTCTTTCTCTCTCTCTGTATGTGTATCTATGTATCAGGATGTAGTTTCTCAACAACTGCTTCAGCATCTGCTTGCATGCCTACATTCTTCCTGTCATGACAATAACAGACTAAAGCTCTGAAACTGTAAGCAAGTCCCCAACTAAATGCTTGTTCTTACAGTTGTTGCCTTGGTTGTGTCTTCACATCAACAGAACAGTGACTAAGGCACGCATACACACACACTCAAATGCACACACACACACATACACGTAAATGTACCCACACAGACACATGAATGTACACACACGTGTGACCACACACACACACACACTGCGTTCTATGAGAAAAGTAGAGCATCCATCTCTCTGCTTCCAGAATGCAGATGTGATCATCTGTCTCATGCTCTTGCCCACACCTTCCCTGCCATGACGGACTGTCCTTTCAAACTATGAGCAGAAAGAAACCTTTCCTTCCTTAAGTTTGCCTTTGTCATAAGGAGAAGAAAATTAAGTAATGCTGAAACTTGGTACCCAGGAGTGAGGTTATTGCTGTAATAAATGTGACCATGTGGTCCTTTGGAACTGGTTTTCGGGAGGAATATGGAAGTTGCTTAGAGAAGCTCTAGAATGCAGTAAGCAGAGCTAACTTAGGCCATTCTGATGGGAATTCAAAAGGCTGGAATCCCAAAGGAACTGTGGCTAGTGGAGACCTGCTTATGGGCTTTCACAGCGAACAAGGACCCTGTCAAGAACTGGGCTGAAGCCATCTGGATTACATTCTCCCAAAGAATCAGGCTGTATTCTGTCCATGTACTGAGAACTCGGGTGAAACAATTTTACAGTAAAAGATTCACTTGTGGGGGCTGGAGAGATGGCTCAGCAGTTAAGAGCATTGCCTGTTCTTCCAAAGGTCCTGAGTTCAATTCCCAGCAACCACATGGTAGCTCACAACCATCTGTAATGAGGTCTGGTGCTCTCTTCTGACCTGTAGGCATACATGTAGTCAGAATATTGTATACATAATAAAAAAATAAATAAATAAATAATTTTTTTTTTTTAAAAAAAAGAACTCACCTGTTTGGTGGAGGAAATTTAAGGCACGGCAGCATTCAGACTGTGATATGGTTACTGCTCACTGCTTTTACTCAGATACATAGTGAGAGACAGAAAGACAGGGGAAATGTTTGGTTTGGTGAG